GCCAAGCCACCTCCCTTGATACCTCCGCCAAAATCCATTTCTCCTGAATTTCCAGCTGCCTAGCCACCAAAGAATCCAGTATTTTATTGTTGCTAACTTCCATTATAGCCTCCGAAGCCCATAATAGGTAAAACATTTCCAAATAGTCCGCTCCCACCTGCTGCTCCGAATCCTGATCCTTAGACTAACTAAGCTGCAGGTTAATTCTATTACTGCTGCGAAAATTGTTAAACTTATGCTTATCCGAACCCAGATCCAAACATGTTCTGAGGTTATTACAATAGTGATCCTTAAGTAGAGAACATCTAATGCTGCTAAATTGTTGAAGAAGTTGCAGTTTTTTGTGAACCAAATCCAAATCCAATGCTAGTTCCTTTAGTTTAGTGAGTTGCTCCAGTGCTAGTACTTCCTCCTCCACTTACTGAGGAGAATGTTAGGCCAGGTGCTTATTATCCTAAAGATGTTCCTGCTCCAAATACCTTATTTGGCTAAGAGCTTGGTGCTAATTGAGTAGTTTACTTATTATTTTAAGGACCAAGAGTATTAGTAGAGGCACTGAATCCATTAAAGGCTGGAGGTGCTGGCTTTTTATCTTGCTAATCCTTCTCCTTTGACTATGCTAAAATTTTATCTTAATCCTTTTAACCTGAAATAATTGTGTTGAATTCTGGTTTCTTTTATTCTTCCTTTGGATTGACTTAATCAGAAAATTAACCAATCTTTTTATCCTCAGGTTTTAATTCCTCCTTTTTAGACTCTGGCTTTTGCTACAAATCTAAGGGGCCTTTCATTAAAATCTTGCTTCCAAATAAAATATTTTAAACGTCATTTTAGATTTCATCTTATTTTTAATTGTTCAGATTTAATGTTCCTAACCCTCCTAAGCCAAAGCTCTCCTTCTTTTCCACGTTTATTACAGTTGGCTGATTACTCTTGATTTGGGCTTTTTAACCACCTAATCCAAAGTCACCAAATTGCTTTAATGCTCCACCATCACTTTTGCCCAACTAGTAAGGCATTTTCTTCTCTAACTAGGGT